GGGAGCGCATGCGATAGATAAGGCCTAGTTCTAGCCTCTATCTATAAGTCAGTTACCCAAGTGTCCAGGTTGGGGTCATGTAAATTTTCGTCACATTATTCAGCGTATTTTTTTTTCACATATTTTTTAGATTTTACACTTCATGTTAATCAGGCAAGATGGTTTCATGCCCAATATGCGGATAGACAGTTGCCAGAGAAGACAAGAAAACTCTGATATGCTCTACCTCTACATGTCAAGCTATTTTTCATGGCAAATGCCTTATCGTCTTGTCACCGGGACCCTGAGGCGTTCCCGTGTTTCGCACCACTATGATGAATTAGGATGGCTCTTCCTCTCCTGCCAAAGACAATATTTCCTAGGCACATTCCTTTACCAAATAATCAATAATAATCGTCCGTCTTAAGCATACAATCTCCTACAATTCAAACCATCTATCCACATCCTCTCAACAAGATCCCATCCTTCTGACCTTTATATCCCTTTCCACAGATCTGCCTCATTTAAACATTCCTTTGTTGTCCTTTCCACTGCATTCTGGAATTCCATCCCACTAAAAATCCACCATGCATCATCCTTATCCACATTTAAAACCTTCTTATTCCAATTCCTCCTCACAATCCAATCAGACGCTGGCTAAATATATATTATGTAATAAGGCTTTAATTTTCTTTATACATTATTTTTTTCTCTTATATTTATTCTGTGTTGAACGTGAATTTCCATCACCACTCACAAGGCATTGTGAGAAGGTAAAATTTGTTTTTCATAATTAAGGCAAAAAAACTTCCGATTTTCTTCAATTTCCTTTATTCACATTTATCACCTCTAACGTTTCGGGACAATTTTCCCATCATCAGAGCAATCCTTATATTCACTGAAACTCTGCACATTTTTAAATATACTATTTTTACAGCACTACTTTACTTCACCTATTGTACAATTATTTACCTTGTTTTTTTTTATGTGGCACCATTTGTCAAAAATTTAAATATTTGTCATGTTCATTATATATTTATTTGGTGTTACACATAGTTTTTTTATTCATTGTTACATTAACCTACATCTGGCTATCTTCAATATCATTACTGTACTTTGTACATGTCCTCTTATTTCTTATTATAGCTGCTTTTTTTTTTTTTTTTTGTCTATTGTTGTTTTTTAAATTTCAGTATTGGATATTATGTCCGAATAGTGTGTACCTAAGTGTTTTATATCTGTTTTATAGTTTACTGTTCTATTATTGTTTTTTATTATATGTATGGCTTCCAGCAGTTTCCTGTTGTTTGATCTAGGTTCTATTGCTAATATGTGTGGGTCTTTGAAGTTAAATGTGTGTAGTGATTTAATACTGTGGTTTTCTAGGGCTGTTATGTTAATGTTTTTACTATTTTTGCAGTTTGATGTATGCTGTGATATTCTAGTTTTTAATTTTTTTGATGTTTCACCTATATATATTTGTTGACAGTGTTGGCAGTCTAACTTAGAAACATTTTTCTTGTCCAGTGTTTCTATTCTGTCTTTTGTATTTGTCTAGTATTTACCTAATTTTTGTCATTATATATGCCAAACTGAATTTCCGGCAGGTCATGGTTTATGAATACTTTTTTTGATTTGTTTTGTCAGTTGTGGTATGTATGTCATTTTGTTAAAAATTCTTTTATTATATATTTTGTTTACTTGTGGATTATTATTTTGGACGCTGTCATTTGTTATGTCTGTCTCGTTGAAAAACTGTGTAATAAATTGTTGTTTTGGCTTTGTTTGTTGTCCGATATTATTTATTGGTGTTTTTGGTGTTTCTTGTTTTTGTTCCAATTTTGTATGTGTGTTTTGTTGTGTGATCTGCTGAACCATAATTTATTTATTAGTTTGATAGGGTAGAAATTTTCTGTTAGTATTTTGTATATTTCAGTTTTTATTTTATTAAGTTTGGTCAGTTAATGTTATAGCCTTGTTTATAAGGTTTCGGGCTGTGTTTATTATTTGGTGTTTGGGGTGGTTGGAGGTGAAATTTGAGTATTTTATTGCTTGTTTGTTCTTTCTTTGTCCATTTTGTCAGTAGCTGTCCTTCTTTCAAAATTATGTCCATGTCTTATTTTATTGTCTATTGTTTTTTCTAATGTGAAATTTATTCTTTTATTGTATTTGTTAAAACAGTCCAATTTATTTATTTGTTTATTTTATTAATACACTAAAATTCACATTGTAATAATTGCTTTACTTACTTAATGGCGCTACAGCCCTAATTGGACTTTGGCCTCACTTAAAATTGATAGCCATTCCTGCCTATCTTCTTCCTTCCTTCGCCATCCTCTTACTCCTATTCATCTCAAATTGTCCTCTACTTCATCCAACCACCTTAGCCTTGGTGTTCCTGCTAGTCTTCTTCCGCCTGGCCTGCATTCATTATCTTTTTTGGTAGCCTCTGATCCGGCATCCTATGAACATGTCTCAGCCATCGCAACCTTCCTTCTTTGATGAATGCCACAATATTAGACTCACCAAAAAGAGCTGTTTGAGCTCTCTGTTTTTCCTAATTTTCCAATAGTCATCCTCGTTAATGGGCCAAATTATCTTTCGATCAAAATATATTTTTCGAAGGATCTTTCTCTCCCAAACCATCAGGATCGTCTCACTCTCCTTGGTCATCACCCAGCACTCACTTCCATATGTCAACATCGGGCTTATTATTGTCTCGTATATGGTTATTTTTATCTTTCGAGACAATACTTGTCACAACTTGGATTCGAAAACCTTGAGTTTTCCAGGAAAAAGATGTGATAGGATGAGACATCTCATGAAAGTATTCGTACATCCAGTGCCATAATGTGTTCTTTTACAATGTGACATCATATGACATGAAGATAGGCAAGTCGCACCAGAAATTAAGGGGAATTTCGTAACTAGGACATATCATAGTTTACAAAATATTTAATGATATAATTATACACATAAAAATGGTTTGCCATACAATTATATTTACACAGAAAATAAAATTAAAATAGTCTTATGTTGGCCGCAACAGAGGGTATGTATTTCCTTTGCACAAAATATTTATTGAGTCACCCATAGATAGATAAAACAATAACGTTGTTGTAAATTTAAACAATCTCGTTACCCCCTTTAACTACTTATATTACTACTGATACTCATTCGAGTGAAGTGAAGCCTCTAAATAATCAGAAAATATTTTGAACCAAGAAATTCTATTTTCCTATATTCTATATGTGTAGTTCTTGATATATTCACTACATATTTTTTTATTAAAATAAATAATTTAATTTATTACTCGCTTGTTATTAAGTTTCACAAGATCAGTTCATGATTACACTTTTTTGGGGGGGATCACTACTGCTAAATATAGTCAGTAGTAAATATAAAAAAATATATATATATAGTTTTAGTAAAGTGTAAATACTTTGTAAAAAAAAAATATTTTTTAATACATTTAGCTGGTTTCATAAGCAAAGGTTAGTTATTTTTGAAAATAATTTTTTTTTTCTACCTTATTTTGTTTTTATAATCACATTTTATTCAACCAGAATAAGTGGTTTTAATTTCTTTCAGAGTGCACAGGTAATGAAAAAGTGTATAAGCAGAAATAATTTAAAATGTGCAAACATAGTTATAACGTTATCAACATTTATGATTTTAAAACACAGTAACAAAATACAATACAAAAATCATCAAATGTCTTTCAACATTGTATTTATATAATAAATAGCATATCCTAATGAAAAAAAAAAAAAAAAATTTTATGCCCTAGCTGAGAAAAAAGGGATAAACAGTGATGTGATTTAACTTTGAATCATCTATAAGGGAGACAGGTACAGATATTGCAAAATTATACAGGAGGTAGGAATTTATGGAGTTTATAAAAGCATTATCAGGTGCTAGAATCGATTAAAAGCATGTTATACATCAAAGAAGACTCTCATCAACTCTCAGTTTGTTAGTGAGTAAAAATGCCTTAGAATTCATTTCGTTGAAAAAAAAAAAAAAAAGAACTTTGCAAAATACTAGGCAAATCAAAATATTCTCTTGGAAATGACCTTAAACAAGCATCGTTGGGAACTATCCATATTCTCTTTCCACTTAATCTTTGACTGCGGACGGGATATATGCCTTCCTGGTAGTGAGTTGGGTCACTGGTGCGGCCAGGATATAGGCCTTCCCGCCTGGGCGGTCTTCACCATTTGACTGATGGCTTGATCAGTGCATTCATTAGTCTCATGCAGCTAATTCAGTGCAGACGCTCCGGATTCTGACCATTTGGAAGCTATCATTTGCAGATTTATTCTGAACCCAAGGTATGTCCTTTATTTGTTATTTTGTTATTTGTGTCATATCCATGATCTTATTTATATTCTATTTAAATGTTTTATACATAAAATAAATGTTGATAAGTTAATTTTATATATTTTTTTTATTTGGTTTTGACTGAATGCTGATTTTGGTACACGTGAATCTCTGTCTACTAAACAAGTAAATGTAAGTTTTCTACGTTACATATATATATATATATATATATATATATATATATATATATATATTGTAATATACACCTTTATTGGAAGTGGGTAAAAATGATTTAATAAATTAATGTTGAACAATTAAAAGGCAAGCTAATCTAGTTCTACTAGTGCAGGGAAAAGAAAATGGCTACTCTGTAATTTCCCAAGAAGGAAAATCCCAAAGAGGAGAGGGACAAAGATTTTTGTTTTGGCAAGCAGTTGTTGTGTGACTGCAGTGAAGAGAGGTTAAGAGAAGATATCCTATCCTGGTTCCAGTGGGTAAAACCCAGTAATAGTTTTACCATCTTAGAAGATCTTGCGTTTTTGAAGAAATTGAACTGGTTATTTGTAAATAACTGTACTAAGAGAATAAGAATGCTAAAAGTCAATCAAATGAAATAATGCATCTTATAGTACCTACAACGTATGACTTACTGTCAATCATTGTTCCTAATAGTATTACAGAATCAAATTATATCTTACATTATCAACATGTGACTGAAGACAAGATTTTATATATGGAGTACATTCAAAACTGGCATCTGTCATCAAAGGGTAAGATGGTATAAACATTTTAATTTTAAACTGGTTGACCTGTAACATACATGAAAAATATATAACTAACAATGAAACAAGTAAGATATATTCATAGTTTGTAGTTATAACATATATATATACATATATATATATATATATATATATATATATATATATATATATATATATATATATATATATATTTATAGTAAATAATCTGTTCATCATTTTAAAATGTTATGCATTATGCATTCTGTAATTTTCTTCCCCAAGAGAAATGAGCAAGGCATACTCATTGGTGTATTAGAAACAACACTAACTGGGCATATAATTACTCCTAAAATACTTAAAGTTAACATAAATTTTATGTGATCCTAGAAGATAGTTAAGTGATTAACTGATGGTTGGCTTGTTTTTTCCATTTACCCCCCTCCCCACCTCACCATTTCCGGCATAAATGAGGAGACTTTGTTCTAGACATAAAACCAAATCTATTCTAACCAGAGTGGGAAAGTGAAAATTCATTCTGTGGATCCCTCACTAAATAACTTTCAAGATGCCCAGGTGCTGTTAGAACTGAGAATGTTAAAGCGAGCAAGGCTTTACACGTTTGGCCAAGCAACATTATCAGGAATTTGAGGAGCATTCTAGGAATTTGAAGAGGCAGTGGCTAAACTGAGTCTTATGGTTAACAAAAATAAGATGGTGTACATGAAGAGTTCAAGAAGGAAAAAGGATGTGAATAGGGAAGTGACTTTCAAAGATCAGAGAAGGGACATAACCTTTCGAGGAACTTCTTTGAGCACTCAGTGTCAATTTGAGCAATTTCCTAACATAATATTCTACAATTGCCTCTTTCCTCTCAAATGTAGACCTCAAACATACAATAGCTTTAAGATAATTCTGTTCTGAAGGTGGGAAAATATCTACCACTTCTCCAGCTCTGGACCCTAGCACAGAAGATTGAAGCAAATAATGAAATTTGACCTCTTTCGAAATGTCTGGATCATTGTGAATCTTCTTAAACTGGCCCTCAAAATACAACCAATCTTTTATGTGACCCTCAAACTTTATAATTCTATAAAAGGCAATTTAAAGTTTTCCTTTGTTTTAAAATGACATGAGCTTGAAGCATCATCTTCATAAACTAAGCTTGGTTTTTCAATGTTAAACTAAGAAAAATATTGATTTAGTTTAAGCATAATGTTTTTAAATTCAAAGATAAATTCCTGCGTAATATTAACTAAAGTCATAAATATTCTTCTTAGGACAGTTCTTCGTTTTTTCAAAACTTTCAGCTAATTAACATCAAATAGCCACAATTTAAACCACCATTAATACTATCATGTGACAGTAATCAAAACTTTATCCTTTCACCATAGTCATATCAGCATATTGCCTTCTTAACCAACCCATATCCCATATCCAGTTCAGCTCTCTCCTTAACTATTTAGGACATCATTTCATCCTGGGTGCAGACTAAAACACCACCCACCAACAACCATGGTTGCTAATGGCATCACAATCCTATCCCTCCGAACACTCCGATCCCGAAATAGCAACGTTAAAGTTACAAAGCCACCTTTCCCTGATTAAACACTGGTGTTATAAATCGAGCATTAAAGTAAATGAATAAAAATTCAAACACATTACTGTTACGCTACACCATAAATCTTGTCCACCAGTTCATTCTAATTCCATCCAGTTTCTTCTCGCAGACACAATCTGGTAACTCAGCTTTCTCTTAGACCAAAGACTAATATGGAACCCACATACAAGACTTAAAAGACAAGAGCTTAACCAGCGATATGGCCAGCTAAATAAACTACTGGAAAGAAAATCTTAACTTTCTATAGACAACAAATTACTGATCTACAATTTTCAATCTGATCAGCAAAATTTTCAAACATCAAACACATTTGTAGGTTTTTCACCAATTACTCATGAGCAGTGCATCAAGCAAACAAGTTACTTTTTAAAAAATTAAAGATTGTTTAATTTTGGGTCAAACTAGTACACCAATTAATAATTCAGTAAAGTGGGGCGGTTGAAAATGTAGGTCAACAAATAATGATTTTTACCAACTTTAACAAAAAACTGAAATATATTACTATAAATGACATGTCAGATGTGAAATGAGATTTCTTTCAGAAAAAAACTGAAGCAATAAAAGTTGTAGTAGGCTTATATTGGAGTGATTTTACTAAATTTCGTACTTTTAGAAAAAAATTATCATGTAATCAAAGGAATATCATGGGGTATAGTTTGGAGACTTGTGAAATAGAGAATCAGAATTAAGATTCTTAGAAACTTGGTCTTAGAAAGTGAAATAAAATAAACACATTTTTGTCAAATTATAATTACAGAGAACAAGTATAATTTTGTTTTTCAGACTATATATTTCAAAAGATCTTAAAGAATAAGAGAGGTTAAATAAAAGATGATTGAGTCAAGGAAAAAATACATTAAATAATAAGGGGTACTATAAATAATGGTAAGTACAAAAAAAAAATGATAAAATAAATAATACTATCTCAACATGCATAATATGCTTAACTACAAGAAATTATTAACAAAAACCTCAACTGATAAATGTCCTTCCCATATAGTGTAATCTTCATTATGTAAAATTGATGGAAATTCTCCACATATTACTGAAGGTTCTTGAACTGTAATAACCATTTTTTTAATTTATTTTTTTAACACAGTATTAAGCATAAAACTTTAGAAAGAGATAATTTCTAGAAAAATTACTATTTAACTTCAAATCTTCAAATTAAAGGCTCAGTGAAACGGAGATCATTAGTGAACGGTACTAAAATAATTAACGAAGTTCTTCAAATCTTTGTATAAACTATCTACAACGGATCAAAAAAGTATTGGCACACTCCAATGTTTCTGCTAATTTCAATAGGATTAAGATATTTTTCATAAACAATATTTTTAATAACAAAGTGGCCTATGTCAACTATATTATAAAAACAATGAATATTCGGAAACCAAAATCTATATTTAAAGGAAATATAAAAAGTAAATTTTCTGGGTCATGAAAGTATTGGCATAGTTTTAAATGTTTACTATTTGCACCTGTCAAAACAAATGAATCCTTTTTCTTTCAATAAATTAGAAACGAGAATTGACGATAAGACAATGGAATAATAAAAATCAGTCTTAGCTGTACATTTGCCACATCATCATGGGTAAAACCAGTGAATATTGAAATGAAAATATTTTATATTATTTTGGGACTGTTGTTCCTTTAAAACAAATTATAAATACAGGGTACAGGGGATGTTTGTAACAGGCGAGAAGCCGATGTGTCTAGTGACCACCATCTAATTACAGCAGTAATCCAGTTTAAAATAGCAACAAACAAGAAACTACTCGGGTTTGTGCAGAAAATATGGGATACAGGTAAACTTAAAGACGAAAGAATTAAATCACAGTACAACCTGCAGCTTTTTAATATATTTAACACTCTGACTCCTTACAATAATGATGATAACATCCAAGAAAGAAGGAAATGAACTACCGAAAGAAGGTGGACATACAAAAAATGTCATGCATGACACCACAAAGGAAGTGCTTGCTGTGAAAGAGGGAAACAAGCCTAATTGGATCTCAAGAGAAATCTGGAATACTATTTTGGAACGGAGGGTGCGGGAAAGAAGCCTTAAACAAAAGCAGAACCAGAGACCAAAAAGAAGAAGGAAGCTTAAATGGAAGAAAATAAGGAGGTTAAAAAACTGTTCCGAAGAGACAAGAGAAACTTTATTAATGGCCTAGCTAGGAAATCTCAAGAAGCAGCTGATAAGGATGGTCTGAAGAAACAAAAACCATTTCAAAAAAGCAATGTTTTGCAGACAATAGGCCTGTCAGAAACAAACAAAGGAAACTTCTTGCTACAAAGAATGAACAGATCAAAAGATGGAGGCAACACTTTATAGAGATCTTAAACGATATTATAGAGGATGAAGTATCGGGCAAAGATAGCTCAGAACGCAACTACGAAAATAATTATCACATTGATTCCAACCCCCCTACAGAGGGGAAATTTTGGAAGCTATCCATAAACTCAAAAATGGCAAAGCACCTGGGGTGGACAACATACCGACGGAATTTTCGAAAGTAAATCCAATAACCATTGTCCATTCCTTTCACCCACTCATTACAGAAATGTGGCATAACGAACACATCCCAGAAGACTGGAAGAAGAGATTATTCGTCAAACTTCCTAAGAAAGGCAAGCTTGCGGAATGTTCAAACTAATGAGGAATAATGCTGACATCGGTTCCCAGCAAGGTATACGCCTGAAAAGGAACATAACGATATATCACGGCAGAGTCTACATTGGAACTCCAAGGCCAGTGAAGCTCCGCACAGACCTGGTCTGAAGTTAAGGAATTGGCTAAAGATCAAGAAGCATAGCAGTCCTTTGTGACGGCCCTATATCCCGCCTAAGGGATTCTAGGAACTAGTAATAATAAATTTCAGTGAGGCCATACATAAATTAAGTATTTACAAAATAGTTGATTGAAAAAAAAAATACAGATAGAACGAGAAGGAGAGAAAAAAAACATATATTATATATATATATATATATATATATATATATATATATATATATATATTTAAACTTTTCGTAAAACTACTAAATGTTCATTTCCTCTGTGTGTTATTGACGTTTCGATCCCGGTATTTTTCTTTTTATAAGTTAACAATGGGATCCTCTTCAAAGTTTTAAAAATAGAGCTTCGATACCTCAGGCAGGGACACACCGACAGTCTCAGCACCGTCCACCAGCTCATATATTAAGCTACTCCCAATTAAATGGTTATATATATATATATATATATATATATATATATATATATATATATATATATATATATGTGTGTGTGTGTGTGTGTGTGTGTGTGTGTGTGTGTGTGTTATATAAAACAAACATCGGAAACTAGAGTAACATAAGAAAACCGGAATAGTCTTCATGTGAGTCGTTACCCGCACTCCATTATAAAGCTTGCATTTTAAATAAACAATCACTCTCATTACAATAAATATAGGCCATCTGATATTAGATACATAATTGTACTTTATTTATGAATCAATTATTAATATATATATATATATTACAGCGGAGCCGGTTTTAGCATTTCCGGATTTTTCCAGTAAGGTTAATTATATATATATATATATATATATATATATATATATATATATATATATATATATATATATATATATGTGTGTGTGTGCATACACACATACATATCACGCAATACAAAATAAATAAAAACAACAAAAACTCACAATAAAACAAACATTAACCGAATCAATACTCGAATGACAAAAATACTGTTAATTACCATTCAATTGGTATGGGATGGCATCATTTCGGGAATAGAATACATATTGGCTACGGATAGTAAAAATAAATATATATGGTTCTCTTTCTCGACACTGTCTATATGGAGGATGTTGTCTACATTAAAATTAGGAGGTGAATCGGATATACATTGCTGCTGGTATCTATCTCTATGTACTTTGGATGATGGACACTGGAGATGAAGATGGTGTAGGTTGTTAAATATACACTGAAAGGCAAAAAATTCCACCCACTTGATTTTTCCATGTTTTCATGTACAAATATTTCTCTAAAGTTGTATTTGTATAAAATACATGGTATTTGTAGATAATACTTAATATTTATGGAGTTTTATAATCTTTTTTACCTTTAATAATCAAAATGTGATTGGGTAAGAAAGATTAAAGAAAAAAAAAATGAAAAACGAACCATTATTATTCTAAAAGAAATTAATTACATCATGCGTATTAGTAGAAATTAGTAGCGCGCATTTCCTCCTCTTGCCTTCACTACTTCTTGAAGACTCCTCGGCATACTTTCCACCAGTCGGGAAATGTCCCTTTGATGGAGGATAGCCCATTCCTCCCGTAGAGCCCTTTCAAGGTCCTGCAGTGTATCAGGAAGTGTTGTACGCGCTCTTATTCGTCTTCCGAGGTTATCCCATGAATGCACAATGGGGTTCAAATCTGGAGAACGTGCTGGCCAGGCTAAAACCTCAATATTGTTCTGTTGAAGGAACGTCTGCACTATGCAGGCGACATGTGGGGTGCATTATCGTGCATTAGAATAGAACGATTGCCGAATTCGTTGAGGATAGGCAACACATGAAGTTCCAAAATCTCATCTACATAGCGAATGGCCGTCAAAGACCTTCCACGAACAACAATCAATTCTGTGAGGCGCTCCATTGAAATCCCAGCCCACACCATTCAGGAACCACGTTGGAAAGGTTGGCTCTGGGAAAAATTACAGGCTGCATATCTTTCGTTTCTTCTTCTCCACATCCTTTCACGCCCGTCTGGAGATCGAAGAGCGAATCTTGACTCATCTGTAAAAAGTACAGCACGCCATTCGTCCATAGTCCAATGGCTGTGTTCTTGAGCAAAAGCCAGCCGTGTTACTCTGTGAGTTCTGGTAAACTCTGGTCCTCTTACTGGACGAAAAGCCATTAATCCATACTCATTTAATCTTTTCCGAGCGGTACGTTCAGAAATTTACACACCTCGAACTTTTTTGAGCTGATGAATCGCTTGAACAACGGTAAGGTGCCGGTTTCGTAAAATTCTCAAAGTCAAAAACCGGTCATCCCGTGGTTCTGTTACCCTAGGCCGTCCAGAACCGGGCCTTCTATTGTAAGAACCAGTTTCCCGAAAACGCCTGACGGCATCTCGTAAAGTTTCATATGGAACTCCGATGGAATTAGCTGCATATCTAATGGAACGTCCATCATCAATAAGTGCCACACCACTAAGAGGTATTTTTAAACTTAATGTTGAAAAAATTAAAAGCCGGAGACTAAGAAATGTGCTGCAAGAAACGGCACTGAACTAATGATACTGAATAAACATTTTGATTCCATAGAAAGTAAACATTGGAATCTAGAATCATTTCATTGAATTAAGGATTAAGGGTTATTGTCCTCTATATTAACATTCCTAACTGAAAACAAACAAAAAGATTACCTATTTATTCATTAAAAATAATAGACCAATCCAAAGCAGAAATATTTTTAGATGAAAACATGAAAAAATCAAGCGGGTGGAATTTTTTGCCTGTCAGTGTATATTATTTACAGGTACTGCAGATTTTTTCCCCTTGTATAATGTAAGTTTTATTTTGCAGTTATATACTTATGGTGTGTGGGTTCGAGATTCTTAAACGGCTGAAAAATCGCGTTTTGTACATACAAGTATTAAAAATTAAATACTCTTCAGGAGTAAAATCTAGACGGTTGTGAGTTCTGTAGACTGGGTTATTGTTTGAATTCAGAGCTGTATTGATGTCTTGAGACAGAAGATGATTGTCCATTTTTCTATAATGGTTTTCTGGTTTTGCATTCCCGTTTTGTAGATCTCGTTTAGTTCATTGAGACTATTGAGACTATCTCTTTAGAATTGAGAACTTGTAAGACCCAGTTAAAATCAATGGTAACTTCTTGCATATATCTTAGTCTAATGAAGAACATCCGCGGATACCGGTTCTCTGCTAGCGTTGAGAGTCTTATCCAGAGATTGACTACTTTTTTTACTAATTTTAATCATAATTCTCAGAGGACGCCGTCCAGTCCCCAGTCTAACTATATAATTAGGTGCACTTTTAGGCCAAAGGAGAAGATTTTTGAGAAATTTTAGCTGGGTGAATTCGATTGCATCTAAATACCTCAAACTCCATATCTTGTAAACGTAAAGAAATGTGGTTTAAACCATTGAATCAAACAATTTCATTGAATCAACAATTTGTTTGCCAGGCGTCACTCTTTCATTTTCTAAGGATTTGTAGTACTCTGCCACTTGAAACGGATGCCC